GTATTATTTTTGGAGGGTTAATCATTTCTCTGTAATTAATAACTAAAACTCTTGAGTACTTATTTTATGATTCTTGTACAATTAAAAAAATTAATAATAAATTGGATCGTTGTGTTTGTATCAATGTTGACATACTCATCAGAAATGGGTTGTGATATTACAAAACTATTAAATCAAGGTTACTTACTAATCAACCGTCCATTACTATACCTTTTGACAGCATTGGTATAATTTATGGGTGTGTAATGCAATTTTAGAACTGGTGAATTCATATCAATTCAAACGATGCCCACAACCTCTGGACAAAACCTTTCTGTAATGCATGAAATCCGAACTGTATCATACCTAAAACAATTGTGAACTTTCTCGTGTCCCTGTGAGGAGACTTCCTACTCTTGGGAACTGTTCTGCTAATCCATTCAACACAAATATAAAACAGATTCCTTTAAATTTGATTTTCCCGACAATACAATACAGACATGTATAGCTGTAGGGATGAACTGAAATATCAGAAATTAAAGTGCACGTCATCTGTATAATAAACTATGCCATTGAACATTGAGAGCAGGTGTGTATACATTGCCAACACTTATTGTTTGGAACATCACCACATGGGTTATTGTGGACATGCACATCCTTTTCTGGTCAAATATACACCTAGTTTCCAGACATTTCTGCTTTCCCACTGTGGTAAAACTAAGATTTACTGTAGCATACAATGATATAGAGCGCCATACAGTGTTCAAATAGAAGTCTATGGTAATACTATTCTGGCAACCATCGCGGTGAAAACAAAGGCCGAAAACTCTCAGAAAAAGGTACTTTGGGATGGTTGTTGAGATTCCCCTGAACAGTGTAACAAGATTAGCCCTACGTGTGATTGTTCAGGATTACTTCAAAGTCGAGTTCCTGTTTTCTCGAATTTTCACCAGCTCTTTGCTTGGCGTTCCTCAGCAGCGTGCACAGAGCCCATAGAAATGCATGTACAGTGGTGCGCGTCTTAGCAACGTAGAACGTCTTGTGACGTAGCTCCGCCCCAGAGGATAGTGCTGTATACAATAAACAGTTCCACAGTATTTTTGAAGGAAAGCTCAAATAATAACATCCATTTTTTTATGAACACACTGTTTAAGTCGTATTAAATTCAACTATGACATCACACACACACACATCAAAATTTACAAAATTTAATTTCAAAATTTAAATGCACACTATTTACAAAAGCACAACACACCCTATATGTACAAATATTAGGTGAGTTAAGTGGACATCTTTGAAAAAATATACACATAAAAGCACCCCCAAGTTGAAACAATTCATTGGTCCAGGAAAATGTACATAAAATGCACAGTTTCATCAGTTGAGCACAAAAAGAATATTCTTAGTTTCACTGTTTATTGTCAATGTCAGCAAAAATGAGTTATAGCTAAACCCATTTGTCTAAACTTCTTTGCTCTGCTTTGCCGAGTGTTTTTTGTGTCCTGATTTCAATTTCTTTTTGGACTCTGATATAGTTTTTAAAGTATCTGCTATGGCTACAGCAGTTTCATTGTCTTCTTTCATTGAAGCAGCATGAACTGTTTTGTATTTGCCTTGAATCTAGAAGAGAAAAAAACACAGAAAACAGGAATATAATTGACTGGGTAAGCAGATGTTCAAGTTAAAATGTTCAGCACGTTCGAAATATGGTGAACCAGCCATCTGATCACATAGATTTGCCTTTGTTCAGTTATACAGACAAAGACAAATCATCAAACTATGTTTGGTTGTGTAGTCGTTAGTCATCTAGAATATAATAAAATCTCTCAAAAACATAACCTTCATTGATGGACGACTACAGAACAAAACAATATCAACTCTTTGAACAGCTTTTGCGTAACCCTAGACTGTCAACAGTCCCTCTGGTCTTACGCGTGTGTGTTTTTTTTTTATTAATATTAATATTAATCAAACGCCGTAGGCGTTTGCGAAATGCCGAAGGCATTTCAAGCGAGGGCCGTAAGGCCCGAGAGACTGTTATAGCCTGCTGCGCCACCACTCGCCACTGTAGAGAAATTCTCCTGTAGCGTACCATCATGATTGACAGGCAGAGTGATGTCATAAAAATGCTAACCAATCACAAGTCATACGACGGTTTTCGACGAGCCTTTAAATAACTTTCGCCGACATTCTGCATCCTTTTTACCAGAGAATTCTCTTCCGCATAGAATACAAATTAGCTCCTTGGATCGGGGGGAAATGCACAATTTACTCACTACTTTCGTCGGAGTTTTACTGGGCGAAATGTTGTCGTACATCATGAGACACCAACGCACTCTTCCTTTGTTTAAAATTAGTAACTCGCGTTCGCAACTTGTAGTTCTGGATAATACTTGGCAGAAAACGATCTATACTCGGCGAGACGATCAAAGTCATGCGTGACATAAAAAAAACCCGCGATTTGACCTTTGCATAACAGTTTAACTCCGCCCATATGCAAATTATTACTACGTCATCGAGATGCATGCATAATTAATAGCAAGGCCAGTCCTGCAGGCTATAACAGTCTCTCGGGCCTTACGGCCCTCGCTTGAAATGCCTTCGGCATTTCGCAAACGCCTACGGCGTTTGATTAATATTAATAATAAAAAAGAACACACACACACACGTAAGGCCAGAGGGACTGTCGACAGTCTACGCAACCCACTTATATCATAAAGCATTCCGTCACTAGAGGGCGCAATTTATAGAAAAGGTGTATTGAACATTTTAATGAATTAAAGTTTCAAAATTAAAAACAACTGTGAATATTTTAGTAAATTCAGAAACACCCTATGTTCTATTATTATTCCTAGGCAACAGTTTTCGATAGCTACCGAATGTAGCAAGTAAACACCTAAAGCATTCTTCACCTGCATGCTGTTGTTTCATTCAGACATATTTCCAGTGCGACCGACAACAAACACATCAGAAACTAAGTATAGCTTGAATAGCTTTGGTCGGAATATTTGTGAGTTGCATGATGTCTCGATATCATCACTGTATTGCCTCGACATCAAAGCAAACACAGCTTCCACTGTGCGCAGCAATATTTATTCTCGGAGCAGACATCCAGGCATTTTCACCGCCTGGCAACCATCACCTGCAAAGGCCGAAAACTCTCAGAAAACGGTACTTTGGGATGGTTGTTGAGATTCCCCTAAACAGTGTAACAAGATTAGCCCTACGTATGTAATGCATATAAATTTGATTGTTCAGGATTACTTCAAAGTTTGTGCTGTTTTCTCAAATTTAGCTATTTTCACCAGCTCTTTGGCCGGCTTTCCAATGCACCTCACGCAGAGCCCATAGAAATACATGGTTACAGTAGTTTGCGTCTTAGCAACATACACCGTCTTGTAACTTAGCTCCGCCCGAGGATTTTGATAGCTTGGCCAAGCGCGTTGATGAAAGAAACAATCTGATTGGCTGTTGATAATCTGATTCTGAACTGTGAGGGCACTGTCACATGCACATAGTTCTAATGAAATACTTCAAGGTGACAGTGGAGTGCTTTACCGGGAAATTCATCTTGAAAATTCAAGATGACCTAAAGAGGAATAAAAAATGCCGTGAAGTTATAGGGCCACGTACCTCTGCCAGTAGTTTTGTTGCTTCGGGTAATTCCTTAGCATATTTTTTCTTGTCAGCTAAGATAGCAGCTAAGCTAGCTTCCTGTGTAATGATTCTATTCTTCATGTCCTCTAATATTTCTTCTAACTTCTCTGCTTTGTCCTTGTGTTTTTTACCATAATCCACTTTACTCTGTAAACAAATATATCAACAATTCAATATAACTGATATAACCCAGGGTAACCTAACGTGTTTTTATTTAAATATATGTTAAATCATATTATTCAATTTATATAATTTTGACACATTATAAATGTTCTTCTACAGTTATTAAATCATATTTTTGTGAGCAAATCAAGGATAGACTTGCTTCATGATGTTTATGGATGCATTACGAAAATGTTCTAGAAGTCGCATGACAATTCATATTTATACATGTGTTTAAAATGTGTTTCGATTCATTAGATATCTGTCTCATAATTCCATTGAGTGTCAACCAGGGTTAACTGTAACTGAGGCAGATTGAGATAACAAAGCAGCACTACTTGTACCAACTGGCCCTGCGGCCAATATTTAGTCTTGTTATTACAGAAGACAACCCTGCATGACTTATAGTAGAATATTAGTGTGTGGCGTTTTTGTGACTACTTTATTGCATGCATCAGAATACATACTTTTGTGATGGTGTTATATGTCACCTGATCACCCAAGTGTATTGATATCTAAAAAAGTAGTGTCTTGGTGTAACTGAAAATGGCGGGATACACAAGAAGTCAAACGTGAAAGCTCTCTGGTTTCTTTGACGTTTCGCCAACACATCACATAGTGCAAGAATAAACATTATTCCTCGAAGTGGAGTTTATTTGTTTGTCATCTTTTTGTCTTAATCTGAGACAGAATCCAAAGTGTACCGAGCTTGAAGAAAAAGCAACATTTCATAAATATATTACTATCACTTGGACAGAACAAAAAGTTACTTCATTATCACATTTTTTACAATACTCACTTTTTGGTAAGGTTCAAACGGTTTCTGTATTCTGTCCAGAGCCACTGTATTGTCTCTGTACACAGTAGGATGCTTTAATGCAAACTCCAATGCTTTAACATTCCCATGAATATCTAAAAAAAAAAGTTTACCGGTAAACTTAAATGAACAAAAATCAACACTCTGACAATATAGTAAAGTAATGGCATCATACAATTGCATTGGCAGCTGCTAGTAGATAGGCCAATATAGTCAAAATATTTGAATAATTTTCAATATTCCAGTATACTTCATTTAAACTTTTGTCATAATAATCAATTTCTCTCATACTCTTTTTCGTTATGTTGCACATAACATATTTTTATCACTGACTACACACAGATTATCGTTCTGTTATTACTAATACTAGCAGTAAAAGACTAGTATTAATTTTTGGATTTAGTCCCATAAACAGTATAAGCTTTGAATAAACTGCTTCAGTCAGTTCATAACATATAAGTACCTGTACATAAATGGTTGGTACACCTGAAATGAAATAAAATTCCAAGACTTTCAAAGACATTATTTATCAGTTTTCCAGGACTATACCATCCCTACTTTGGTCATTTTTCGTATTGAGAATTATATCTGTCTCTATTGAGACAGAATTTTACACTGCTTGTCCAAACAATTTCTTTACATTTTAATGGTGCTTTCAATAGACTTTTTATGCTGATTGTTCATTTTCCATGACTCAAATGAATTTTTCCAGGACACCTTTCAAATTCCAGGACTTTCCAGTATACTAGTATTCCAGGACCGTACAAACCCTGGCATACCTTTAGGCAGCATGAGATCGGGATCATCCTCCGCATCCAGGAGAAGTTCATAACCTTTGTATTTGTCTGGCATATTCATAGAAACTGCAGCACTATCTGGTCTCATCTTGCTTGTTTTTTGTGTCTGTACCTTGTCCTGTACACTGTTCATATCTTCCTCCACCTGATCATCAACCTAGGGAGTCCCAATAAATTTAAAACTTTAATTAACAAATACACTCTCTAGTGAATTTACATATTCATGGCGGTCGATATCCACGCTGTATCATATAAAATTGATTACCAGTATTCGTTAAGCAATGATCAAAGACCAAGTTTTAAATTGTGGCAAAAGTGGGAGATGGGCGCTTGACCGGGCATGGGCACTAACGTGGTCGAGTACGGTAATTAAGACATTTTTGCATGAATATTAAAATGAATGAGATCAAAGTCAATCAAAATGATACTATAAAACATGTTGAAAAAGTGACATACTATTTTAGCGAATTTTGGTAAAATGACGTAATAGCGAAATGTCGATTTAGCGAATCCCTTTTGTCTTTGTTGATTTCCTGTTTTCACGATATTTATCAAGATTACGATGTATATAGAAATGATCGCTAATTCTTGTTCTCTGTTTTTACATATATCATTTATTATGGTAACACTAAACAAAATCCAGAGAGCATTCGGTTACTGTAGAATACTTTATTTTCGCTTGGAATTTATTTTCGCTATTTTCGCTGAAGGGATGATTCCCTGAAAATAAAATCCAGCGAATATACTTTTTTTCCTATATTTAACATTAAACTCATCAAAAATCAGTGAAAATAAATTCCATACAAAACGCCCAAAAAGCCTTTTCAGCGAAAATTAATTCCAGCGAAAATAAAGTATTCCACAGTAACTCTTTGTCTCTATATGTAAAACAGCCCTGCTTTCAAGTTACTGTTTGTACAAAGTTTAAAAAGTAGTACCTGGTATGAACTTTGTATTTTAACATTATACTGTATATATTCACAGTGATGCAGAATTGGTTACCGGTACTACCACTTACCTGTGTGAGGAAAACAGGATCATCAGCGTTTGAATCCTCTTTCTGGAAGTTTTCTTCCATCCAAGTCTGGGTCCTAGACATTTTATCTTCATCGTCGTCCTCATCAACCTCCGGCTTGCTTGGGGGCAGTGTTGGTGTAATTGGTGGTAGTGGTTTGGAATGTTCCATGGTTGGATTGGGTGCTGATCTCGCCCGTAGTGGCGGATGTGGTTGAGGTGTGGGTGGTTCACTGGACGGTAAGGCGAATATGGACGGACCTTCCAACATGAGCTGTTCGACAGGGACTTTTGGAACCTTTGGCACGTGTGAGGACACCTGAAGAGTAGAAACAAATATTTAACGTCTGTTCACCACTGGCATAAAATTATAATTTGAGACGGCTTATGGTCACACTGGAGAGACGTTTTATGAAAATAGAAGCGTCATCACCTGAATGTGACAAGTACATTAATATATATAAAGCATAAAGACCCCCAAAGTGAAACAGACATACTACCTTTCTATCTTTCTTGATAGGCACTCTTGGCCCAGGTTTCTGCGGTTTCTGTGGCGAGAGTCGTGTAATATGAATACCTAACCGATCTACCAAGTATCTCTTCAATAACGGAGGGTCACCGCTGTTCAGTGTTGTAAGTGGATTATTATGTATAACCAATTCTGTCAACATTGGCCAAGCAGCTACCGCCAGAAGCCCTTCCTCTTCAGCGATCTACAAACATTTAAAACAAATAATACCGGGTATGAAGTGTGTAATCATGTGTGAGCATCGACAGGTTTAGGGGAAATTTCATGCACACAACGATGTCGTTTTGATTGAGCTTAGTAGAACATACACAAATGTGCAAAAAATTACACTTCGACATCCAAGTTATGCATAAGATAGACATCAGATATTCTTGTTTTTCCGAAAAAATTTGAAAATCGTTGTCACCACTGTTGAACACTTATCACTGATTGATCATTACAAATAAGTGTGCGATCGGGTATAACATACCTGATTATAGGCAAGACTGAGGAATTCTAATTCTGGGAATGGAGGAGGTGATTCCCTTGTGAAGAGTTCGCTTGATTGCGTCGTCTGGTTGGTGCTATGGTTACTGTAATTATCATCTACTTCTTCCTCCTCTTTAATCTCTTTCAAAGTTGATTCTATAAGCGATGCACTGGGATTGTTGATTACTTCCTCTGAGAAAAAGTACAACAAACAGCCACGAAAATCATCAAACAATTGCCATAAATAGGACACAAATGAACAAATGTAGCTGATAGGTGTTGCAACTGATGCAAAGACTTTTTTTTTCATCCTTGAGTGAATTTAAATATTTAAAACTGAATTATAATAAATCAATTCAAATTAGAGAACAACACACAAGAACAAATTCTTAACTGTGTATATCGAAAGCAGTGAATCACAAAGTGATCCTCTAACTAACCCTGAGTCAAAAAGAACCTGATCTACACATATACGAGCTTGTTGCCTAGTTCAATACGCACCTATCTTACTACCTTTCTTATTACTGCCACTATTCTCATCTACCAAGTCCGGCTGTGCACTCTTGCCTGTCTCTTTAGTTTTTGTACTACCTACACTATTCTTTCTGCTCAAGCTAAGATCCTGACTAAGAATTCTACATATGGCCGGCGATACGGTTCCAATTCCTATCACTACATTGAGGTAATCAAATAGAAACAGAGCAATGAATAAGTATATTTCAGATACTACACTATTAGAAATGTACCTATGCAAAGACAGACAGACAGACTGTTTACCTTCTAACTCATTTCTGCTACTTTTTCTACTTGTAGCCCCCCTACTTGATCTTCTACTCGAAGGTAGACTTGCGCTGTCCCCTGCCGTGTGCGGTGTCGCATGACGTGGTGTTGTTGCTAATGATGGCGGCTCGCTTTCCACCATTTTGCCTCCCATTGCTTTGAGATGTGGCACGGAGTAAATACTGTTTTTGTCAAGATTTAGTCTTTTTAGTCTGTGTAATGAATGGAAACAAGAAATAAAATCGTCAGATGAGCTTTATTCAAGTGTGACACTTCACCATTAACCGATACCTATAGCATGGTATTTTGACCACAAAATAAACAAGACAAGACTTACAGCTGACACAAATAGTTAATACGCTTCAATGATCACTGCCTTTCACATACATTTGTATAAAAAAGTTTGCAAAGAAACAAAATAAATGTACTACAAAACATCCCAAATTCGCAGTTGAAAAGAACTTTAACAAGGTCAAAAAAGTAACCTGTGATACACTAAATTTTGAAAATAAGGATTTAACCGGTAAACTTGTGAATGGCTGATTTTTCCCCGTCAAAATATTGCTGCAATATTTTGCACATTTTAAATCAAATTGACAAAATTCTTTATTTGCTTAGATTTTTGACTTTAGGTTTTCATTAGAGTTTAATTAAGTTTGATTTTAGTTTTTAAAAAAATTGTGGGAAAAATTGCTTAGGTCTATTTTGTGAAAAATGTCAAAAGTTGACATTGTCCGTGTATGGGTTAAATAAAGAAATTGTTACATGAACTATTGCTGCTACAAATAATAATACAATACTTACTTCCTTAGTCCAGCTAGATTTGCAAATGTTGTTAAGTCTGTAAGCTTGTTATCATCCAAGAATAAAATCTCCAAATTTGCAAACCTAGTCACTTTCATGGACGAGTCACTGGGAAAAAAAAAGTGTCAAGATATATAAAAAACATGAATTTATTAATTTTCAATACAAAAGTCAGAATTTCATTAAACAGAACTGATGACAGAGTGGAGTCTATGTTTATGCAACCAGGGGACTGACATCAACAGTAATTTGGATGCAATACAACAAATTGCTAATGAAGTCAACCCTCAGTGACACAATACTGAACAACATCCAATACAGTCAAAGTGATAATTAGTCTATGTCAGAAATATGTTGAGACCATTAGAGATAAATTTTTACCAATACTCTGATCACTATTGACAGAAACAACACAATAATTTGAAAATTCGTTTTTAGGATACATAAAATATAAAGCCAGTCAGCAATATGCCTTACAAGTCAGAGCAGGTTATGACATGGGAATCTACTACTCCAGTGAAGTGAGTGGCTGTGTCTGACTTGTATGCAAATGCCAAATCAATAGTAGGAAATGAGAAATAGTGAGGTTATTTTAAAATCTCAATTTTAAATTTAGAAAAGCAAACGCTAATAGGTGATTTTCCGTACAATTGCGAGATCTCGCGAGATGCCGCAAAAATCGAACGATTTGATTTTGAACGAGAATTTCTTTATTTCGTAGCTTACATTGACCGGCCGATCTTCGACAGAGGAATATTGCTTCCGAATACCTTTACTTAATCGAAATTGCCTATCATCAAATGTGGACAGCACATTATTAAGCATGGAAATGTCCCCGAAATACTTTCGCGTTTGTCGAATCCCACGCGATGTTTGACGCGACTACGACGCTATGACCTTTGTTTGTCCTGTTTTTACGTTCGATTTCACGCATAACGCGTGATTCTCGCAGTGAACGGAAAATGGTCTATTGGCATCTTCTTGTGGAGGTGGCTCTAATCATATCCTTCCTCATCAAAACATGTTTTCCAAATGCTATCATGCACAGTCGAAGTTGGAAAGGATGCAATGATGACATAGGAATACCTAATAAACAACTTTCAAAGCACCAAAGTTGTAACATTGCGCCCTGTTCCACATGGGTTCTATACAACGTATACAATGAGTGTATTACACATACCAGTACATTGTTTGTACACAAAATCTGTGTTTGCCTTGCATTAAGATTATGACAGACGGTTTTAAAAAATACATGTGCCATTACAATCAAATATCCACAGAGTTTAGACAGGAGTGAACATTGCAAGAGTAAGGTATAACCACTGGTATCCTTCAAATTAAGAAGGCTAAAAACTAAAAAAAACTCATTTTTGAATAATTGTATTTAATACACATTGTTGTAAAGCTTATCAACACCAATATAATAATATTTTTGGAAATAACTTACTCTACATTAAACTTGACAGGTTGGGCCATCTCTGAGGGTAAGCATCGGAGGTTATTGCCACTAAGGTGCAGTACTTTAAGTTTCGCTAGAAGTCCAAGTGTTAGAATATCTTCTTGCGATAAATTATTATATGATAAATCTAAAACCTGAAACAAAAAAAAATCCAGCCAAACGTCATATCAGTTTATCAGTGGTCAATACAAGTCCTATCTTCACTCACGGTTATAAATAAATTATTCTGTTCATTTTGGTTTATGATGTGCACTGATAAGAGTAACTGCCACACTACTATTCACACTATTAGTAGCTCACATGTGCTAATGTAAATTACACTAACAGTAATATTTTAATAATTTAGTATACAGCTAATGCAATTGTTTGTTTATATGGGCTTCTTCTAATATTGGAAAAAGTAAACAGTGTCTTCCTCTATCATAACCTATCTATGTCCAATACTACGTAACTTACCTCCAGACATGGAAAGTCGTCTAAATCAATTTTTAAATTCCGAAGTCCATTTATAGGCATTTCTAATTCTCGTATAATTGGAAAGTTATTGAATGCCTCTGTGGGAATAAAACACACAGGCTAGTGTTATTTTTTTTTTTTTAAAAGATACATACATCTGATTAAAATCCCTTGCAGGTAGAGGTTTTTTCACCTTTAAAATATAATTCTGGTCACCAGTGACATCGCCTCTACGTCTGACCAAACGATTGTCCAAATCAAGTTCAACCAATTATTGGACACGCCTGTGATCAGAAGTACGGTAGAGGCAATGTCACTGGTGACCAGAATTGAAAGCATGTAACTGTCTACATACATCTGGCTTTGAACACATACCGTACTCGACCACGTTAGCGCCCAGGGTCTTCAACTCATAAAATCAGAATTTTTTAGGGGTGGGCGCTTACCCGAGGACCCCCTCGGAAAAGAGTGCAACTGACAATTTTAATTCACCGCTGACAGATTGCGGGGATATTACGTCTTTGAAGATTTGAGGGAAAATAAAATTACAAAATTAGGTGCGTCGTCATTGACTCTTACAATGAGTCTGTTGGAACACAGTCAAAGTCAAAATCTTCATCATTATCGCCACTGACATATGTGTCGGATCATACGCAAACTCTTGATAAAAAGCACTTTCAGCCATGGTGTATTTGCATTTGACCTGCATCAACGACTTTTGACCTAATGGGTCAAGTCTGTTATTATCCAATCAAAATGCTGTGTGGTACCAACGCAATTCTTTGGAAATTCCCGAAGACTCTCAGGTAACGCAATGCGGAAGTGAATTATCGATGTCGAAGTACGATCTGTTGGAATTGATTTCGACGAATAAACGACACGTTTTTTTTTTTTAAACGGTAACAAGCAATTTTTATCGGTAAACTGAATACGACATGAAATATTTACTACATTATACTTTTATTAACAGGTCGTTGTCGAAGCGTAGTTTACGCACGATTTATACCGTAGTCTATGCATTCACAACATATTCACGGCAGTCTATATCCACACTGTATCATGATACAAAAACGATTACCAGTATTCGTTAAGCAATGATCAAAGACCAAGTTTTATATTATTGGCATTTTGAGGAGGTGGGCGCTTTGCTGAATGTGACCCCGAATATAAAAATTGCGCAAAAGTGGGGGGTGGGCGCTTGACCGGGCATGGGCGCTAACGCGGACGAGTACGGTATATAAACATTGGACCAATGGGATTCTATTCCAGTAAGTACAGGGCATGTACCACACACAAATAACCAAGATCAACTGCATTTTTATTTTTATCAATCATGTTTCCTATTTACTTAATGTTGCAGAAAAATGAGTTAACCATCACACTCATACTCACCAAATGGTAACAGATTTTCCGACGCATTCACATAGGCTACATTATCAAAAAGTTGGAAATCCTCTTCTCTGACCTCACTCAAATCTTGACCAATGATATTGACAGAGCAAAGATCAGAAGGGTCCTCCACACAGCAATGTCTTAACTGATACAACAAATAAATATCATGTTAGATCATAGACCTTGGAGGAGATTTTCCTGGGTCTACTCTATTGTTAGATAGGGAAACACCAATAATCAAAACACTCGTACATATTTAATTACATACTTTTGACCAATCAGCAGAGTTATAGACATAAAATAGAAAGTGCTCGTCTGAAAACTTCATCGAAATGAAACACAGCAGCCCCTTGTCTGTAACAACAGACTTGCAATCACTTTTGTTTTTTTAAGTATTTATGGTTATTTTGTCATTTACTGGTAATTTGCAATCAGATTTGGACAAGTTTGTAGCCTGTCAACTGAAAATTTGAACCTGTCTAAAAGAGTGTCTGCCTAAAATGATTAGGTAAACACGTTGTTGGCTAAAAGCCAGCAGGTCAGAGGTGGTTTAGGAGGTATCCTATTCTTCAGTCATGTAGGAGCTGTTCTATTTTTATCATGTATTGACTCAATCTGATAAAAAATTTCTCATTCACCTCGAACTATACATGATACAATGTGTAGAAATTCAATCAATTAGCAGCCTTGTTACAAACAACTGTGCATTAGAATGCAATTCACTTCATTAAGACACCCTCAGTGATTGGTTGGTTGAAATGCCAACAGAGAAAAAAACATAACCCACACTAGACTCCAATGGAGTTGGCAATGAGCATAACTTACAAGGAAAAATCCATCCAGCAAACCTGGAGTTTCATCATCTTCTCCTGCAACAGTACTAGATGCCGACGCCCGTGCCCTCGCTCTCGCTTCTTTTTCTTGCTGTTTACGCTCCTGTTTGAGATCATCGTATGTTTTTGGTTTTGTGCATAATATTGCTTTGAAACGTCTCCTTTGTTCAGCTCGATGTGAAACCAACCAGGCTCCACCAACTAGACAGCAAATGAATGCAGAGGTATGTGAATACACATAATCCATATATAAAGGTAACACATGGGCATCCAATAATGAATTATTTCTTTAAAGTTGCATTTCCACATTGTATGTTCGCAGAAAACCTCTTACTGACCCTTGTAAGCATCATAAGGGCTTCCGATTTTGTATAGTTCTTAAGAAAGTTTCTTTTGTACCCCACCCCTATAGTTATCTAATGGGGAGCATATACAATGTACAATTGAATTGGGAGGGGCTGGGAGTGGGGTTAAAGTTAGGGATGGGGGTTGGGTATAAAAGGAACTACTAGTATTTCTGAAATTTTATTCAACAGAATCCTGAAATTGAATTTTTAAAGTTTTGCTAAAATAAATAAAATAAGTAATTACAACAACGAAAATTGAATGTTTGATTTGGTCAACCTCATTGATGATCACAATAATCAGCGGAGAATGTTCAGCATACATGTAAAGTAGGAATGCGAACTTTAAGCATGCCAATTTACTGATCCAACAAATTATTTCAAAAAAACTTTAATTGAACTGCTCGCTATGAATTATTGGCAGAAAAATTTGTATCACCATCATGGCGAAATTCCAGTTCTGTCAAGTTGGATGTTATATTATAGGTCAAAGGTCATTGACAAGAAAGTGTTTGTTTTGACTGTAACAGTTTGATCATAGACCCTCTTTTAGAGGGTCTATGGTTTGATCAACTAACTGGCGATATTATACTAGTACATGCATTTTACTTTTATTGATCAAGTGGTTTTCAACCATCCTTTTGAACTTATAAATATTTCGTGTTTATGTTTTGCACAACACAAACGTTCACACTTTTTCACCTTCGAGAATTGCTTTATTTCATTACGGTTACCGTAAAAATTATATATATAATGTATTGGTGACTTCAGCTCCGAAGGCTTGACATATAATAACCATGCACACCGAAACCAGACATTTTTGTTGAAGTTGTTTTGCACAGAATACTGTAGTAGCTTGCGTCACTACATTCCAGGTTAATAATCTCGAATGTAAATAAAGCAGCAACATGAGGTCTCATCCATGGAATTCAAGCAAAATATTTCATTGGTCTAATTAAGTAAGAAATCTTAACAATCCTAGACATTAAACAAAAATTATATATTCTCAGTGTTTGATGATAATTAGAACTACGGTTAAAATTAACATGTCAACGTCATTCACGAGTATTATTTGTCGTGATCAAAGCTCATATTTTTCTCATGAAAAGGAGTTATATTGCATTGATTATAATTAAAATTACCTGAGATTGTACATTAATTATTCAATTAAACTTACATTCGTCCGATGGTCTGATAACACTCCTAACGGGGAAGCAATTGGCGGCATAACCCCCCGTGCCGTCGTCCAACTTCACTCCAGCGGGCACCGCCATTTTGGACTTTGCCATAGAAACATTGTTTACAATGGAGCCGAAGATTTTCGATTTTTAACGAAGACGCTAGCCTCAGTGCGAAATTTTATAGATTAATTTATTTTAAATTTAAAGAGACCTTTTATCTGAAATATATGGATTTATTGTCCTAAAGTGTGATGTTTATTTTTTTCTAACATTGCTAAGGAATTATTACCCAGCATGCTTTGAGGCAAAATACGACGAAGTGACGTCACAGGGAATCCACCATTTTTTGTTTTGAGCTGCAGTTCTGAGTGTGGAAGCTCGTTGTACATCAGTTATTCGTTCTATGACTGGCTTGTTCATCTGCATTTGTTCTTTTTCAGATTTTTACAAAATTAGTGACTTTGCTATACCAATATCAGCTATTGTTTATAATGCTAAAACTCATCATTTGAGTCATTGCTTGATAGGAAAGTTGCGTGCATTCTCTTCCGGAAATCTCTGAGCTCAGACGAATTGTGTCGTCTGGTGCAAAGACCCGCTTCTGGTGAAAGTAAATCATGGGTGGCGGTAATTCCCCACGTTCATATTCGAGATCTCGAAGTCGTAGTCCTGTTGCAAAATATCGCAACGGAAGATACAGACACGAACACAACGACCGGAAACGGTCTAGAAATAGTAGACGCAGTTGTTCGCGATCACGGAGTCGGAGTAGATCAAGGTCACACGAACGAGAAATTAGTCGTTATAGTCGCAATGCAAGACATGATGAACGGTACCCAGAAGAACGTATTAGCAGTAGGCACTATCGCGAACATGAGAAACCTGGTAATCATCGCCATACACATAGCGCCGATGACTCTGAGTCTGACTCGAGTCAGCACAATACAAATGACAGGAGTGAATATGAAGTGAAATACAAGGAATATGAGAAAAGTTATTATTCAAGAAGCGGAAACCGCTATGGAAAACATCAAAATTCTCACGAGGATCGGGAATTTAAAAAGAAACAAGATGATGAAAAAGATGCGTTCATGGAAAGGTCTGGTTTATTTGTTGATAATCAAATCTTTATACTTTAGTAGCGTAATCCATATTTTTTCTGAGCATCAAGGCTGGGTCTTAAATGCACCAGTCAAGCCATTCAAATGGCGATCAAGAAAAAAAAACAAGAACCTAATTTTACAACACATTCTTCACCCCTAATCCCAACTCTATCCCTACCTCCCATCACCCCAAATTAATTGTATATGCCCCTCTTGAGGACACTTGTAGTTACCTAGAGAAACATATACAATTGATTTGGGGGCTGGAGGGTTTGAGTTAGGTTGAGGATACAATAGAAAGTCTTTTCCATTTTTGCTTCAAAGTTAGCATAAAAACGCAATTTCCTGGTTGACTACCGGAAGTAATCAGTATTTTTGTTATAAAACAAAAACACGATACCAGTACTTCTACTACTATTTGTCATTTATTTGAAAAATCTGGTTTCTGTTCACTAAATTTGATTATTTCATTTGTATCAGGAGGAGACATCAGAGAGAAACTATTTGCCAAACTGGTGTGCCTGAAGTTTGGTGTCCATCACCTGAGAAGCCTGAACAGGAGTAAGTGTCTCATCAAATCTAATATGTTAACTAAATCAAACCCATTCTACAGTCTATGTTCGTATAGTTTTCTGTTCTATTTAGACAAGTTTCACTGTAACACATGCAACCATGTTTTATTTATTTATATATACATGTCATTGTACCGTGATCGCGGTAAGCTTCATCACTTTTAAGCAAAACTGGACTACTATCACCCAAATCGAAATAACTTTGAAAATTTTACAAGCGACAAATCTGCAGAGGGAATTATTTTTTGGGAAAGAACTGCATTGAATTTTGCAGAAAATTGTTTTGAAAGATAATTATTCTTCAGTTTTATTTCCTTTTTATCTCAGCTCTGATGAATTTAGTCCTGTTGAGAAAGGTATGGATGATTCGGAAGACAACGATACTGACAGTGAAGGTAGGAGTCAATAGCAAAGTATATTATGTCTTTGGTTAAAATAAGTCATATTTTAATGATCCTGTAAAAGCAATTTGTTTTATTTTTTGTTTATTTTTGTGGGCTTCTAATGGAGCAAGATACGGTATACATATTTTTAAAATCTCTGTCAGAATCTACAGAATGCACTTAAAATGATAAAAAAACACTTTACTTTCACAAGAGAATTGTGAATTTCTTGGAAAAATCAGCAAATATTGTATCAGTAAACAATTTAACAAGAGGGGTCACAATGACTACCAGAATGTTACCATCTGGAATGCCCTTGAATCAAAAATAATAATTATTGTAATTTACAGTATACAATGAAGTTTTGTTTTGTATGCTCTTCTAATAAAGACATGCGTCTAAAAGAGCAAATATGATATACTGTTTAGTTTCAAGAGAGGTCTTGTTGCTAGGTGTAATATAAAAATGTTTGTGCATTTGAATGCAAGGATACAAAGCTATGTACCATAATAACAATTAAATTCAAATTTATCACAATTAATCAATCTTTTATATATATATATATTACAGAAGAAAGGAAGCACAGGAGAAGAAAAAAGTCTAAAAAGAATAAGAAAAAGAAAAGGTGTTCTTATAAATGTATTCTCTCGTACATGTATTCTCTCCAACATGTACATATAGTATATACATATATATATATATATTGCATGTGTTATTAAGATGCTGTAGCTTATGATGGCATTTACTGCCAGTGATGAAAGTGAGATTTAAAATTATATATAATTTTCAAATAAATGTTTAAAACATGATGTTTACGTAACATTTAATATATATTTGTATTTTTAGTAAAAAAAGTAAAAAGAAGCGGAAGAAGAAATATGCTACATCAGATTCTGATAGTGATACAAGTCAAGAGTCTGAGTCAGAAGGGATGTGGGTTGAAGCCAAACGTAAGTCATGGGTGGACTATTTGTAATGGGGGTCGCTAGATTAGAACCATGTGTATTTTAGATATAACTGAATTATATATAACTGAACCTACCTGTATGTACTCAAGTGTAAATTCTGTTGTTTTATCAGGTAATAAGCCTGGTGGTGAGATGATAATTGGACCTTTACCAGAGGTGTCATTTGAAACCACATCTTCACGATTAGAGTAAGTCCATTCATCTAAATTCTGTTCCTTCTACACTGTAGATGCCATTGGTTCTTTTCAAATTACTAGTAGTTGGACATTCCCTTTATTATTTCAGTTTGGTTATTAATAAAGACATTTTAGATTCATCTCCAAAACGTCAACCATTTTGTTACAGTGGGTGCAAACACGATTCATACAGAGAGTTAGGGTTATTGGAACATTGATAAGGAATTTCTCAAGGAAGTTGTAAGTTACCCATACTAATCTCGTTTGCACCTTCTGTAACATTTTGGGGGAAGTTTTAGTTTCAAATCAGGCCTGGTGACCTCTTATTATTTTTCCAAAGTCTACATGACAAATTTCAGATTTACCCGGTACCATCATTGCATCTGAATATGGGGGATGTTCATTTTTGACTCCCATGTGCGAAGCACAAAATGGGAGTCTTTGCAGTTAGTGTGTCTGTGTGTGTGTGTGGGTGTGTGTGTGTGTGTGTGTATGTGTGTCCGTATATGTGTGTCCGACTGTTCCACTGCTATCTCAAGAACCATACATCGGTTTTTGATGAAACTTGGTGCATAGATGCTCTGGGCCAATGCGCAGATTTGATTAGGTTTTGGTAAAAATCCATGCTCGTTAATTACCTAATTTGCGTGATAATTAGCTAATTTTTAGCTGTTCTACGACTGTTCCACTGATATCTAAAGAACCAC